TCTTAACCCATGGGCATTGGGCCACGAGCGCCACCTTGAGGGCCTCAAAAAAACAACAGTTTTTAACTTTGGGCCTCAGAGGACCGTGGGACCACATTGATTTTGAATAAGGTGCAATACACTTTCTCACCACTAGTAGCAGTAGTGCGCCACTCAGATGTTTAACAACTTTTTAATATGTAGAAGAAGAACCTTAGAAACCTGCTGAGAATGGAAACTTATTTTAAATTAAAAGTAGAAGCAAAAATGAAGATAACCCTTTAAAATAAGCCAAAGTTTGTCACTAATATGAAGAGCAGCTTCTGTTTATTTCATGTAATGTTTTAAAAGTTCAAAACATTATCAAATAGATACAGCTATATTTTAATTTTCACTTTTTCATATTATATTTTGTAGTTTTTTAAAAATATTTTTAATGTATTTTAAAGAATTTTTAAACTTGTCAAAAAGCTGTTACTGTTGTTTGTCACTAGTATGAAGAGCAGCTTCTATTTCTACCATGCAAAGGATTAAAAAGGCTTTATTTTCATTTGTACTTTATCAAATTTAGTTTTACAGTTTTATGTATTTGAAACATTTAACATTTTTAATTTATTTATCTTATGCCCACAATCTTATTTATTTAATTTTCTATTTTTGTTATTTATGTTAAAAAATGTATATTTTTGTGTCGATAAGCCTGAGTGGTCTGTTGACTGACTGTTGTATGTGTTCAAATAATTGTTATGGGCAGGTTACAATATAAAAAAATTGCTCTTGTGATTACTTGACAAGAGTTTTACTTTTAAAATGTAAGTGTATTTAAAGTGTAACTTACCCCAAAATCAACTTTTTTTAACAAATAAACTGCCCAAATTGTGTCTTAAGGGTAATACCTTCCTATTTTTGACCTAAATTTAACATTTTCATCTAAAATAGTTTAAATCGTCAATATTTGGTCAAAAACGGCTTGGTACTGCCATCTAGGCGTTTAAAAAAGACTACCACGTTTGAAGTACCTTGTGATGTGCTGTAAAGTGTGACGTGTCACAGTACTGTGCTCATATAAAAGGACCTCTGTAGACACGCCCTGCAGAGATTCAGGAGTTAGCCATAGCATTGTTGATTGTAGCTGTGGTAGAAGCTGCCTTCTCCTCAGCCACAGTGAAAACATGGAGTCTATCAGTCATAAAACAAACTGAATTAACTTACACATCCTCTTTGTGCTTCAAGAGTTTTTAAACTGTGGTTGCTGTGTCACGTAGTTTAGATCGGGCCAAAACTACACACACATATTGTCCCCACATGTGCAATAAAACATGTCCACACACATATCACACACACACACACACAAGGCTCCACATAATAATAATAATTATTATTATGATTATAATAGATCATAGCCACAGCCTTACTGTGTTCAAGAAATAATAAAAGAGTTGAAGATCAGCGACTCGCTCCGCCGTATGGCCCCCATAAGTGCACATAAACCAGAGCATGTGCCTCCGCTGCTGAGGGGTTTTACACATCAGGATGTCCGGACCCCTGCAGCAGGCAGTGGGATGACAGAAACTTACCTCGAGGCAGTGATGGAAAAAAAAAGACTTGGATGTCCGTGATCAGCTCTTCAAGCTGCTCTGGAAAGAATTTCAAGCAAGTCCTGGTACGGACCGGTCCGAACAGAAGTTACAGAACCAGACAGTGACTGCTCCGTGCGGTCCTGCTGTCACAGAACCGGACCCTCGCTGACACTCACCGCTGCTCCAGGTTGCAACTTGCTCCATGTCGGAACATCCCAGAACATCCACAGGTATTGTCCTCACGAAGACTAAAGATGCTGAGGTCTTTATAAACTTAGGAACATTTTAACTGTGAGGATTAAATTAAAATGGGATCACATCAAATGGTATTTAGCCTAAAATATATGTCCGGTTGGCTTCGGATCACCGTAGCGTTTTTTTTTTTTTTTTTTTTTTTAGTCCTGATCTAAACTCTACGTGAAACAGCAACCTTTTATTTGTTAAAAATATATATTTAACCACAAAGAGAAGTTAATTCAGTTTGTTTCATGATGCCTAGCGCTGCAGGTGAACCAGCAGCGGAGGAGTTTTCACATCAGGCCGCCCGAACACCTCTGCTGCCGGGGGTGGGTTGACGCTTCTGTCCGAGGTGGAGTGGTGTGTAATCGGCTGCAGGGTCCGGAATGATCCGGGGGACAGAACACTTGTCAGGCTCAGACTGAGCTGTATTGTGAATTTTAATAGAAACAGGGAACCAAACAGAAATGAAAAGGTATTCTTTCTGTTCTGTTTTGGATCAAAGTCATATTTTAACAGTTTTTTTTGCCTGAACTTTACATTATTACATGTTGTATCAGCTAAATATGAGTTTGCATGTATATCATGAAACTTTACCTTTTACAAAGTCATTTATTTAGAACATTCAGAAATGTTTTCATGAATGTTAGCTTGTCAAAGTAAACTAAAGCTAGCTGTCACGTTGTCTCATCTTAAAAAAAAACTTTCTCTCCTCCTGGCCACACCTCCTCGCTCCCCACCCCCTCAGAGTCTCCACTTTGTGCATTTTTCAAATTTGCGTTGGGGGCGGAGTTATCCTTTCACAGTGGGGTAAGTTACACTTTAATTTAGTTATAATGTAAATACAATAAAAATTAAACCAAGATTTAGAATAATTATCATTTTGATCCATACATTGGTAATGTCTGACTGGGCCTCGTGTCACTTTATGTTCAATAAATTGGGCCCCGAGGTCAAAAAGGTTAAGAACCCCTGGGATAATATAAATGTTTACTTCTGCACACTCTTTTGAGCATATGAAAATTTAATATTTGTAATGTTTCTGTTAGCTTCTGTTCAATAAAACTTATTAACAAGAAGAAAGAAAGAAAAAAAGTACTTCAGCTAAAACATTCCATCACTGTGAATTACATTAAGATGTTTCTTAAATTTATAAATAACATTGGTAACAAAACAAAACGATTTTGTTAGACTGTCATCTTTCACACATTTATACAGGAGGAGAACAATTTCATTCAGATGTTTACATACTTAAGTTTTGGTTCCAGCACCTGAACGAGCCGCTCGAAGCTTTGTTTCCCGCTACCGCATCCGAGCGCAGATCTTTGCAAACAAAAGTTGTCATGGCCTCTGTTATCTTTAAGTTCAGCTGAGAATCAGCTGTAATGTTAGTGATTGTTCCTTAGTTTCTTTTGTTTTGCCCCAGACAACTTGTTGTTGGGAGCTAACATTAGCACTGACAGTCAACTGGATGTAAACCTACGGCAAACCAGGAGTGACATAAAACACGGAAACACGCAGCTTCATCGCACACGATGTGGGGAAAAAATCAATCTCATGACTTATGAATCGATCTTCCCAAATTTGAACGAAAATAGATCCAAGTCGATTGAATCGATTTTTTAAACCCAGCCCTAGTGAATGACTCTCCACTGCAGCTGCTGCAGATTGTGGCACCTCGCCTGTCAAGTTAACGGAATTAGCTTTATTTTTTTTCTAAGGTCATTTGGTTGTGGTGGCCATCTTGAATTGCGTTGGTTTTAAATGTTATTAGGTTATAGCTTTTTTCCCCTAAAAGTTTCCTTAAAGTCCAGTTGCATGATACTGATTTAACAAACAGACTGTTGACTCCAAATAGTTATTGTCAGAAATTTTAATGCAAGTCTCATTAAAAATGTCTTCAGTGGTTCATAAAATATTTTGGAAACAGATGCACACACAGACATGAGCAAAAATTAAAATTGCAATCGCCCACCACCAAGCTTGGAACAGATATCTTATGGCTTTTCAAAAATTTTTTCTATGAAAACACCAGGGGATCAAGGACTCCATACTGGGGATTGGAACAATCTCCAAGCTGGATGCTCGTATCCAGCAGAAAAGAGAGGAACAGAGGAGAAGAAGGGCCAGTGGAGCCCTCGCACAGAGGCGGGCACAGATTGAAGAACGCAAACCAGAAAAGTAAGTTGTAGCTGGTTACAATGCAGCTAAAATACTGACTCAAGGTCCTGTCAGAATATAACACTTTAGACAACTTATGACATTTTATGTTTAAATAACTAAGGAAAGCTTATATTTGATAATTTTGTTAGCATTACAGTATGTACACGCCTAAAGAGGCTTCCAGTTGTTTAATTCCATCTTCAACGTAGATGTCTTTCAAATTAAAACGCACAGCTCTCAGTCTCTACTCTAATTCATCTCAAAGGTGTTGTATCAGACTGAGGTCAGGACTCTGTGCAGGCCAGTCAGGTTCATCCACACCAGACTCTGAATCCAGGTCTTTATGGACCTTGCTTTGTGCACTGGTGCAGTCATCTGGATGGCTGAAGAAATACTTTTGGCAATATAGTGTAGCTTTGAATGTCCTAAAAAGTTCTATGTAGGACTGTCTTATTATTATTATTATTATTGTTAATAATAATAATAATAAAATACTTGCTGTGTGCAAGTTGACATATAAATGTACCTTTGGAGATTTAAAAATGGCTTCAGTGCCATGTGACTATAATGATCTGCTAATCAGACGTGTTCTAATAAAACACTCCTTTGTGATGACATAAAACCTCTGAGATCAGGAGATAAAGGGTTCTCAGTGACTCTGATATTAGTTAATTAAAATTACCAGTCTGATTCTCAGCATCAGTTTGGTACATCACTGTTTATCAGAGACCTTGAAAAGTACCTTGTGAATAAAAATATTTAAAAAAATATCTTCCAGCCCAGACTTGTATTGTATAAAAAAGCTGCCGTAGCAATGACAAATTTAGCCCCTGAAGGATTGATTTAAATATTCATTGAGTGACTGGCTGCTCATATGTGCTTTTTTTCAAACTGTGTGAAATGTTGAGCATTTGTAAAGGCTGCTTTGAAGGTTGACACCAAGAAATGTGTGGTAAATTTGTAGTCTGCAAACAGAAACTCATAAGCAGCATCAGACATTTTGTCAAATACATAACGAATCTCCTTTGAATATTCAACAGTAATATTCATCTTTTTTTATTTCCCCAGTGAGTCAAAAGTAGCCAGCAGGATTTTTCAGTGCTGTGCCTGGAATGGAGGAGTGTTCTGGGTAAGTTTCAGCTCCGTACTTTAATGATGGCTCTGTTTCCACAACAGGTTTGTGTTTCTTACAACATTTGATTGTGTCTCTCCAGCTCAGTCTGTTTCTCTTCTATCGGATCTTCATCCCACTGCTGCAGTCTCTCACAGCAAGAATCATTGGTACGTGTTTCAGTAATTCTGGGGCTGACTGTCTTTCATGCAGTAACAAGTAAAGGCCTCAACATGCTCCATTCTAACCTGAACAGTCGACACGCAGTCGTGTGTTTGTGCAGTGTTTGCTTTTTGACACACCTTTCGTTGCTCCTGGGAACCCCTCCCATTGCAGTATACACTCACCGGCCACTCCTTTCAGCTAAGAACAGGAAACTGAGGCTACAATTTGCACAAGCTCATCGAAATTGGACAAGAGAAGATTGGAAAAACGTTGCCTGGTCTGATGAGTCTCGATTTCTGCTGCGACATTCGGATGGTAGGGTCAGAATTTGGCGTCAACAACATGAAAGCATGGATCCATCCTGCCTTGTATCAACAGTTCAGGCTGGTGGTGGTGGTGTCATGGTGTGGGGAATCTTTTCTTGGCACTCTTTGGGCCCCTTGGTACCAATTGAGCATCGTTGCAACGCCACAGCCTACCTGAGTATTGTTGCTGACCATGTCCATCCCTTTATGACCACAATGTACCCAACATCTGATGGCTACTTTCAGCAGGATAATGCTCCATGTCATAAAGCTGGAATCATCTCAGACTGGTTTCTTGAACATGACAATGAGTTCACTGTACTCAAATGGCCTCCACAGTCACCAGATCTCAATCCAATAGAGCATCTTTGGGATGTGGTGGAACGGGAGATTCGCATCATGGATGTGCAGCCGACAAATCTGCGGCAACTGTGTGATGCCATCATGTCAATATGGACCAAAATCTCTGAGGAATGCTTCCAGCACCTTGTTRAATCTATGCCACGAAGAATTGAGGCAGTTCTGAAGGCAAAAGGGGGTCCAACCCATTACTAGCTTGGTGTACCTAATAAAGTGGCCGGTGAGTGTACGTCACTGCACAGAGTCCACACAAAAACTCTGATCTGCATTTTTTAATCCACAAATCTGTCCTGGTTAAAGCTCCACCCTTTTCTGCAGGTGGATTCCTCTGAGCACGTTGTCTGTTTTGTCTCCATTTCTGAGTTTTTGGCCATTTGATTATCTTTATAAAATCTGCTTCAAGGTTAGAGATGGGTACCTTTGACATTTGAATTGATTCAATACCAATATCCGGTACCTGGAAATCGGTACCGGTACTCAACGGTACCAATTTTCGGTACTTTCTACCCGGTTTTCCACCTACACGGTTCGGTTTGGCTCCACCCCACTCCGCACCCATTTTTGTTCTTTCCACTTTGGCTCTTGGCCACTCTCGGCCCACTTTTTCGGACCTCCTCTCGAGGTAGTACTGAGGCTGGCACCATTGGGGTATGTAGGTGCCGAAATGTGTAGCAGTCACGATTGGCCAGTGGAGCTACATGAGCCGCCCTGGATGACGTTAATAACAAATGTGCGAATGTTCAGAACGAGCTGATTTACTGAGATTTTCCAAATGATGGTGGCGCACCGGGAGAAATTTAAAATATTGAGCCAGTTTTCAGAGCAGTGAAGGACCACAACGGCCCGAGTGACTCAAAGCACTAGGACTAGAGGTTTGGGTAAATGGAGGGGATCTCTCTCTACAGCGACCGGTCTGGCTGCTGCTAACTGTAGACTGGACTCTTCACAAACTTCAGACATCTGCAGATAGYGAGTGCTTCATGCRTTTAGTTACAGACTAAATATCAGACTTTTTTTAATGTCAATAGAAAATTAGCACAGAAGAACGACAAACAGCAGCTTCTGTGCCTCTATTTAAGTTATACCACCCACTTTTAAGAGACGTTACCACCCACAGATCAGGGACACTAGTTGCAGTGGAAAATCACCTACACCCGAGTAGAACCGAGTAGAGTAGAAACGACTGGAGCCGCACCGTGTAATGGAAAAATGGCTTCTGTGTGTTGTTTTTTTATAATAATAAACTTATTTTTTTAAATTTCTGAATATATAAAATTTAACAAATATCAAGACAACATCCAACTCTTTGTATTGTAACATCAGTTGTTTAACAAATTTCTTTAAAGTGAAAACTCTTGAAAACAACTAATGCAGTGTTTCCTTATTGAATAAATTAAAATCCAGCTGCACGTATTTCTATTGATGGAGGTCCATGAAGGCAAATACTTTTAAATCAAATAAGCAAAAGAGGATGGAGTTAAAATAAATAAAAGGTATTCAAGCTATATTTTGAGCATCCAAAACGCGCCCAACACTTCAAGTTGGCTGCTTGTGCTCTTTCAGGTCAGATGTGTTCAGACTGTCGGGAAGCGCCTCTGTTGTTTTCCTCTGCCGGTCTCTGTTTAATGGTGGATGAAAAAGAGAAAGTGGCGATACTTTATTTATTTTTAGCAAGCGAATGTCATGCTCACAAGATATTTAATCCACCAGATAATTCAGAGGCGGTCTGTTCGGTGAGTTTTACTGCAGGAGCTGCGAGGCTTTCAAGCTACGTTCAGACTGAACTCTGTTTACTGAACCAGCGGCTGATGATGTCATTACGCTCTTTTTTTGATGCTGCATTCATGACAAGCATGGAAAATCTCCCACTCTTAGGCCAATACAGTCACAATGATGTGTTTAGGTACCGAAACATGGTACCGTTTGATGTTACGTGAATGGGTACTCGGTAGTACCGACAGAATTCAGTCGGTACTTCAAAAAGTATCGAATTCGGTACCCGTCCCTATTCAAGGTGCAACAGTCAGCTTCTCCAGGCGAGTTCTTGTTTTTCTTTGGAAGCGAGTGTTTAGCAAAGTGCAGCACTCGAACACTTTCAGCATAAACAAATGTGGTCACAACACCTGACTAACCACACAATCATTTCTCTCAGTGGATAAGAAGAGGTAGACGACTCAAAGCTGTGAACTGAATGACACAGTTTTCGTCATGAAACTGCGACAATGAGAGCTCATTTTGGCAGCTGGGATGGAGCAATGCAGAGGTCTAAAGTGAGTGAATCTGTTCTGGCTCCAGGTGACCCCTCCCTCCATGGCAGTGTGTGGTCCTGGTTAGAGTTCATCCTCACCTCGGTCTTCAGCGCCCTCTGGGTTCTACCCCTGTTTGTCCTCAGCAAGATAGTCAACGCTATTTGGTTCCAGGTTAGATTTTATTTTTATGTTACATTCAGTTGCACAGTCTAAAGCTGCTGTCACACTGTTTTGCTACATTTGCTGATGTTTCCAGAAATGCCCTTTATTTGTGTCCAAATGTGAAGAAATGCWGCATGTTTTGTGAAATGCTAACTCTTGTTATGAGATATATGTGTAGTATTCATGATGCATTCTGCTTACATACAGATGTGGACAAATTTGTTTGTTTCCTTTTGCTAAAGAGAGAAAAACCCACATAGTTCTCTGAAATACTTTAAAACTGACAAAAAAATATATAAAGGAAAACATGACTATAATCCACTTACAAAAATTAGTCCTTTGCTTTTGAATTATGGTACTAGGGCTGGGCCATATCATATCGTTCACGATAATACCGGTAAAAAAAACTTGACCGGTAAAATAAATAATATCATGGTATGCTAATTTCATGACTGACGTCATTCTGCCCATGACGGAGAACCTGCTTGTTTTCTGTTGCGAGACCGCAACAAAACTGGGCAGCCCAGTCTTATACATGTTTAAACAGACGCTGCTTTCAACAAATCAAACGCACCCCACAGCTTTATCCAATCAGAGCAGAGCAGGGCAGGTCTTTCTGATGTCGACTCGGTGAAGCAGTCTGCAGGATAAACACCGGGCTGTCAGCCTTCAGCTCCTGTCCTGAGCGAGAAAACCCCGTCCTCCACACTTCGCTCCCGAGCTACCAGAGACGTTTGTGTGTAAAATCTAACACACTATAAGTTTATGTGTTCAGAGCTTTGTTATCTAACAGATATGTCCAACTTTGCTCACGTGACCAAACTCCTCTCCTCGACAGCGCTTAAAGGGAGCGCGTCGAGGTGCACACAGGCTGAGTTCTGTGAGAGCCGCTGCTTCTCCAAAATATTCACTCAGATGAACACTTTGCCCCTTTATAGAAAAGACGAGTCTCCACTTAGTGTTAGGCACCGACCCCCACCCCAGGAAAAAAAAACGCTATGTTTTTTTTGTAGTTAATTTTTTTGTAGCTTATTATTTAGAACCATACTGTGACTGAACTGCTCTGTGATTCGATAAATGGTCAAATATGAAGCATAAATAGTATTAAATGATTATATGAGCTCTCTAAATATAATCTTTTTGAAAGCAATAGTTATTTTAATAGATAAACCAGCCAGTCTAACATAAAACACAAAGTTATTTTGTGCAGTACAAAAGACATATTTGGTATATTTTAAAAAATATAAAGTTATAGTACATACGTACGGAATGTATTTGCACTGAAAAGTTGTGGAGATGGTTAAATAATTGTATGACTATACAGTGGGGAAAATAAGTATTTAGTCAGTCACCAATTGTGCAAGTTCTCCCACTTAAAAAGATGAGAGAGGCCTGTAA